TTTGTTAAAGGTTCGTGATGAAAAACGACCCACAGGGAGAGAAGCACCACCCAAATTGTCTATTATTAACTATCACTATATTAGTATTTAGTTACTTCAATGGACTAAATACCTATAAATAAACTAATTTATACAAAAAAAAATTCAAGCTTGTTACATTGGAAAGTTTTGAAAAACCTCTTAAACGTTTGTGTAAATAAATAGGTAAAATAAATAAGTAGCCGTTGGAGTACATAGATAAAAATAATATTAGTAACAAAATAAAGCATATCGTTTTCTTTATAATTTTTCTATGCATAGGCGAAATGAAAGAGGAATGGTAGCGCTAGAGAGAAGTGCTGTACAGACCCGAGTGATGGGGTCCGACACAATGTGGCGCAGTAGCTACCCCCTCTTCGCATTAAGTAAAAATATAACTCTATAGTATCTATTATTCTGATTTTTATGGCCAATCACTGTCATACCGGGACCAGAGACCCAGCGACCTTTTCCAGCAACAACCCACTGTGCTGGTGCGGAACCGATTATTGATTGTTAGAGCTAAAGCTGAAAATAAGAGTTTTTTTCTGTGCAGGTTTCTGTCATTTTTTTATTTTTTATGTTTTGTATGGAAGAAACCTGTAGTGTAAGGGTTTGGCAAATACTCAAAAAATTGGTTCCATTATATTTATTTAAGTATTTTTGATAAGTACATAGCTAGTTTGAATATTCCAAAACAATGGATGTAATACAATAATGCTCACTAACACACATACCTCTGACATGCTGTGATTTCGCTTTTCTTCACTGGAATCTCTAATGCTTGTGTGTTTGCATTAGGAGACATTTGAGGGAGGAATTGAAAGGAGAAGAGAAAAGAGAGTGTTGTACAAATTACTAGTAAAAATAAGTAGTGTATTAGTCGTTTACATTTCACTTACCTTTTCAATTATTTCCATTTTCCAAAGATTCTCTGCTGCAAATCGCTCACAACTAATAAAGCTGTTGTACAACAGTTCATAAAATAAGGCGATGTATTATGCTAGAGGTTTAGAGCTACTTATTGCACCTAGTCTGAGTAAGCTTAGATCACTCATCCACAATACAAGAGGCGATAGACAACTAAACAGACACTCATTAAGACAAACAAGGCTTAACAATATATTATGTATATATTATATAGCGCCAATTAAATGAGTGAGACAAAACCAACAACCAACCAGAGTCAAACTGACCCACCCATCCACCAGAGGCCATCCTCGACAGTAGAGGCTTTCAGTAGCCACTGCCAGAATAACAGTATCCATTACCCCCAAAAAGAATGACCTCTTTGAAGAAGTTTGGAAATTGGTTTAGGTAACTAGCTAGATATTGTGAAAAATTTTAAAGTTGTTACTAAAGTACATGTTGTTTAGTTAAATAGATTTCCTAATGATTTATATTTAATTGGTTAGTGAAAAAGAACAAATAGATGAACGGCCTGCCTGATATAAATAACAGCCTCTCCTCTACAAGGATAGGGGAATGAGCCTTCCCTTAGATTGCTACCCCATTCCTTCATGTTCAATATATATAACTAATATCTACATAGATAATATATATAATCTATATACATAGATTAGATTAATGTATAGTTAGTGGCATTTATGCTTTCGGCTGCTTTTCCTTTCTGTCCCTTTTCCTATGATGGTGTTTGTATAGCTTTAGCATCTTCTCATCTCCTATATATAAAGGAGTGTGTTGTATTTATTGTAAATCAACAAATCAAATACATAATTCAGTTTTTCTCATATTTCTATTACATAAAATCTAACTGGTATCAGAGCAGGTTGACAACCTAGTAATTCCGCTTCACCGGGGGCGCAGCCTCGCCTTGCGCCGCCGCCGGACCCTCTACACAATACCTTTCATCCGCTACGACAAATCCCTAATTGAATCATCGGAATAGTCGCCGTCGTCCACGCTTCACCGGCGAGTCGAGCTGGCTCATTCATTCACCTCCGTCCTCTTCACCAAGTCCGGCTTCGCCACTTGCGCCATCGATCACCAAGGCCCCCGGCTCTCTCTCAGTCCTCTCTTGGTGTTTCGAACTCGCCCCAAGTCCCTCGCTTTGCAGAGACTTCGACCAGCACCACCCATAGAAAGCCATAGCAGCAAGCAACTCACACCAGTCCTCTTCCTCGGCCATCAACACGCAGACGGGAACCATGTTGCTTCCAGCCGTCGTCGACCGTGTGACCACCGTAGACCACCAAAATCTCTTGCGGTAAAACAAGGGAGGGACACAGCTTCCATGGGTTTGAAGCTTCATGTGAGTTTGAAGACAAAAAAATATAAATAAATAATAAATAAATAAATAAAATAAATAAAAAAATAAAATAAACAGACACACAGACACATGGCTCTCGGTCTCTCTGTCTTACGGGTGTAATACACAAATACAAAGTTAGATTTGAATGGTGCCTAAAGGAAGACGTTTGAGATATCTGTGTTTTCTTGAGAAAAATTACACAGACAGAGAGGACATCTCTCTTCTCTCGGTCCTTCGTGCGACTCTCGTGCGATTTTTGCGCCACACAAAAACAACCAACAAACATCTCTCTCTCTCTCGGGTTGGCACGCAGCGTTGACATCACTTGGGCACACATCTAACCTCTGTACATCAAAACAGCCAGCCATGTACCTGGCCTCGTTGAATCTGTTTGCTAAATCATGATTTGTTCAAGCCTCAGGTCAGAGGTTCGAGGGCTGGTAGAGAGAGAGAGAGAAATGGGAAGCCTCATCTTCATTCCAGCTCTCTTGCTGTCTATGAGCTCCGCCGTGTTCTCGTGCCTACCGTCGGATCGAGCAGCCTTGATGGACTTGAGAGCTGTCCTACACCACACCGCCGAGTGGCCAACCAACCTCCGCGGCGAGTACGAAGACCCATCTACAAAAGTTCAAATTCTTCTACCAACAACTTTGCAAGATTCAATACTGTGTTTAGAAGCACAGATATCTCAAAGGTCTAGCAAGCAGCTTGGGCAGCATTTAGAAGCAATACATTGAGACCGTTCCAGTCTGGTCTGATAATAATCTTCTACCATCACTCCTGGTCTATGGTAATCTCAACCAAGCTCTCTCTCTCTCCCAGGCAACAGGAAGCATCTTCTCCCACTCACACCCACCAACTTTTTCCCCTCTTTTCGTTTCTTTTTATTTTCCTCTTATCTACACACTCTTCTTTTATTTAAACATTAAACCCTCTCTCCCCTCATTCATTTTATTATTATTCTTATGCCCACCCTCAGAATCAACATCCATGTGATCTTTGCCCCTTTTTATCCACCCACCTCCATTTTATTTTTTGTTTACAATATATTTGTTTCCTCTGTCCTTACCCACTTTCAGTATAATGGCTGGCACATCATGTGTTGGTTTGAACCACAACGTGCGTCCCATTACCACTTTATTCTTTTATTTTCTCTTCATTTTTCCAAAAAAAAAAAAAAAAAAAAAAAAAAAAAATGCTCTCTTTCTGCCCGAATGCTCTCTCTCTCTAGGCTTTTTCACTCTGCAGGTTTGAACTTTGAACAACCTTGTGTCACTCTTAAACCGAAAAAAAAAAAAAAAAAAAACAAACAAAAAACAAAACAAAAAAAAAAAAACCAGCAACCAACACTGCAACACCAAACTCCTTATTCCTGCGGGATCTCCCCGATCACATTTTTACACAACAACACAACAACCAAACAAAAAAAAAAAAAAAAAAAAAAACAACAACAACACAAACAAAACAGTCACATCCACAGGCCGGGTTTTCTTCTCTACTCTACCGCCGGTCTCTTCTTTTTGCCTCCGTCCTAGACGGCCCTTGACGGATGTTGCCTCCGTGTTTCCCACTCCACTGGGCACGATCACTACTCCCTGCTCCTCACTGCAGCATACGGCGGACCTCCAAATCGGAACATCACGGTGGCCTTCCGCTTCAGCTCCTTGTTTTCTGCTTTCAGCACACTTATCTCTGCTCGCCGCATCCTTATAATGCACGTTGGAGCAGCGCCAGTGGGCGTTTAAATGCGGCACCTCATTTGTCCTACTCTGCAGCCGGTTCGACAAGTTTGGTGACCGCCGTCATGCTTTCCACACATGCCTTCAAAAGTATATCTGATTAGCCTCCACATCCGTTTTGCACTGCCATTTTTGCTCCACCGACTGCATCGGAAAGTTCAACGGAGCAAACCAGTGGTGTTTGGTTGAGGTTCACGGGACACTCGCACAGTCTCTCTCCTGTGGACTCGTTGAGATCGGGAAAGAGAGTGAGCAGCCCACGGGACGACGAAGCCATTTCTCTCGCAACAGAGTGTTACAGACTCTCTCTCTCAGCACAACAGTGTTACAGCCTCTCTCTCTCAGCACACCGCAGAATTCTTCAGAGGTTTCTCTCAGTTTCTTGTCTCAGCCTCTGCCTCGGCCTCAGCTCCGTCTTGGTTAAATAGCCGAGGCAGCCACGCGCATCGCGCGCTCTTCTCGCCGACAAACTGGCACGCCTTTTCATGGCACGCCTTTTGATGCATTCGGGCACGACCT